TGCTGAGAATTGAACTGCTGCTACATAAGCATATGTCTTTTCCTAAATGCCCCCTGAGCAAGAGCTGATCGATGAGCATATCTTTGCAGTTCATGCCAGCATTTTTCAGTTAGGTCAATCAGATGTACCCGAATCTTTTAAGTCTTTGGCTGAATACTGTCATTTTTATCTATGCAGTCACATAGAGAAAAGTTATATTTATATTTTGCTTAACAGAATTTCATGAGATTCGTAGAAGTTGCAGGAAATTTTGGGTGCAGCCTGACCCAGGCCCCATGCATGTGAATGTATGGTTATCTGTAGCATCAAAAGCAAAGCAATTCTCTATTAGCAGTTTTCAAGTGGGAGATAGCTACAGTTGTGAGCCAAATTTGGGGTCATTTTTCAAAAATAAAAATGGACAAAATGTATGATTAACACTTAAAAATTATGGCAGATTCAAGAGTGGCTACAATGCATCAGTTTCACAGGCTTGCATGGGTTGCATCTTCAGCCAGAGAAAAGGGGTGGTGTTATATACTAACTGAGCCAAGATTGTGCATAACTCATAATATTGGTGAAATCTTTAAATAGGGGCGTTAATTATTGACATAATCATTAACTGCTCTTAGAATGACTCACCTAAAACAACTCTGGCACGATTTCATATGTCTAACACTCCACAGCATATGACACATAGGAATTTCATCCACTGTGTCTACTGCATTGCAGGAAGTATGAGAACCACAGGCTTCAGAAATCTGAGGGCTAAGCCTCACCAATGCGTGCAAATCCGTAAATGCTCCAGGGATTGCTTACAGACAGAATAAACTCTGTCTCACACATATATCTCACAAATGTTTACAACATTTCAGTATGTAAGTGCTGTTTTCATTTCAGAGTTTCTGAATTCATGATACATTTTTGACCTTCTGCGTTTTTACAAGTAATGGACACTAAACACACAATTACCATCCATGAAAGTTGGTGAAATATTTTGAGGTTTAAAAAAAAAAAGTCAGGTAGCTGAAAGTACTAGAAATCTTCAAAGGTATAATTGGTAACTAGGTGATAATATCTTCCTCCCCAGAACTCTTTTCCCAGGATTCTGGGCAGCAGAACTGAACTTCATAAAGCAGGTGCCCTTGGTACAAGTGCAGCGATGGGACCTATATTCCACTCAAGATTGTGTTTTCTCCTCCTTCTATACCAGTAGAATCATTCTCTTTTACTTGGCTAATGGAATTACTTTTCCCCAATATGATTTATGAACCAAATCTTTGCCTAAAAAAAAAAAAATGTGTGTTTCTACCCTAAATCTAAGTGCTCAAAGTAGGTCCTTTTAACCTGAATAATCCCTCAGTGGCAACTAACTCATGTTAATGTTCTTTGATTAAAAACAAGTGTGATTTTGGGGTGCCTGGGTGGCTCAGTCGGTTAAGCGGCCGACTTCGGCTCAGGTCATGATCTCGCGGTCCGTGAGTTCGAGCCCCGCGTCGGGCTCTGTGCTGACAGCTCAGAGCCTGGAGCCTGTTTCAGATTCTGTGTCTCCATCTCTCTCTGACCCTCCCCCGTTCATGCTCTGTCTCTCTCTCTGTCTCAAACATAAATAAACGTTAAAAAAAAATTAAAAAAAAAATAAAAACAAGTGTGATTTATATAGATGAATGGATAAAGAAAATGTGGTATATATATACAATGGAGTATTACTTGGCAATCAAAAAGAATGAAATCTTGCCATTTGCAACTATGTGGATGGAACTGGAGGGTATTATGCTAAGTGAAATTAGAGAAAGACAAAAATCATATGACTTCACTCATATGAGGACTTTAAGAGACAAAACAGATGAACATAACAGAAGGGAAACAAAACTAATATAAAAACAGGGAGGGGCACAAAACAGAAGAGACTCATAAATATGGAGAACAAACTGAGGGTTGCTGGAGGGGTTGTGGGAGGGGGGATGGACTAAATGGGTAAGGGACACCAAGGAATCTACTCCTGAAATCATTGTTGCACTATATGCTAATTTGGATGTTAATTTTAAAAAATAAAAAATAAGGTTAAAAAAAAAACAATTGTGATTTATAGAGTGGAGGTAATAGCTCCATTTAAGATCCTACTATTATTAACAACACAGCAGGAGAGCTCTCAAAACAACAGCTTTTCAGCAGATAATATTATGAAGCAACCATTATATATAGCTCCATCCCATCACTGTTTTACACTGAATAATTTTGACATATAACATTGAGTGAATTTAAGATGTACATGTCACTTTGATACATTTATACATTGCAATATGATTACTGATACAGCAATATTTATCTAATTGTGGTACAATATTCATGTCTACGTTTATTATACCATGCATTAGGTTTCTATGGCTTATTTACTACTTGTTACAAATTTGTAGCCTTAAACACCATCACTCTTATCCCCCCTACCACATCCCCAGGTAACCACAATTTTACTCTGCTTTTTTACAGGTTTAACTCTTTTAGATTCCACATATAAGTGATGTCATACAGTATTTGTTTTTCTCTCATTTATCTCTCAGCATAATGTGCTCAAATCCATCCATGGTGCTGCAAATGGGAGATTATTAGCCCATCATCTTTGAAAATGCCTAAAAAAACAGTATTTCATTAATGTGTCGGCTGCATACATATCTGAGTAAATTTCATGAACCACTTACACATAGACTTTTCTTTTTAAGAAATCACATTGTACACATTTTTACTACAGCCCTGTTTGGAAAGACTTATATAAGACACTGTGTCTCACATAGCATTAATATATTATAAATGAGAAATTCAACTATTTTGTGTTTCATTAAAAAAATTTCTTTTGTCTCACATAGATACTTAATAAAACTTTTTAAAACATTTTTTACATAATCAATTATTTGCAGCTTAATCCTAAAACCTTAACATTTAAAGGAGGAGTATCTTTATGTCTACTATTAAAATTCAGTGATATTTGACAGAAAAGTAAATGACATTTGTGGAAGGGAAGCAAATGTCCTTCACCTTTTTAAAAGCATGAGATATGTGACACATAATTGAAATGATTATATTCCAGAAAGGAAAACAAATTATTTTATCTTTCTGCCTATCTGTGCAAACATTCAATAAAGAAACGTTGAGTCATGAGTATAGTGCTACCTTGAAACACCATGCAGAGCTGTTTTTGAAAATCTATTCTTTAGGCCTACATCAGTAAGTCACTGAAATTATGAGTAATATTTTCACCAAATAGATATTCAGAGCTCACCCGTAAGGCTTGTCCAGAGGGTAGGAATGAATATTTGAATATAAGAACACAACAGATCCTTTGGAGTCATTTGGTAGAACCTTCTCATTTTATTGACTAGGAAACCTCACAACAGAGAGGTGATTTGTCCAAGATCACACAAAAATCATAACAAATTTGGCCTTTCACTAACACATTGCTGCTTCTACTCTACCACCACTCCTTCCCTTTAGCCTGGGTTTAAATAAAGATGTAGAGGTTGTGGACCACAGTTTTAGTTGGTCTAATACTGTTAGTATTTTTGTTTCTCCCAATTCTGCTGTGAGTAAAAAATTACACATACTCCAGTTTTTGACTGAGTCAAACAAAATTTTGGCAATGTCTCTCTCCTTTTCCCAAGTCTTTTTGTTTATTATATGCTGTAGTGGTAAAGCCTGAGTTGGCAATAGTTAAGTGAGGACCCTGAATAAAAGATTGGCTCTTTGACTCCTCTGAATCAGCTGAGAGGACTAGATAAAAATATCTCCAGGGATGCTCCAAATAGAATAAGATGCAAGGCTCTTTCAGACCATTGAGAAAGGTACGATATTCCAGGACTCTGAGGCTGTTTACCTTTGCTCCAGTACTCTAGATAGATATGACAGGAGGAAATACAATAGTAAAAACAGAGACAGAAGGAATTGAGATGACTTCCCTGAGCCCAAGAAGGCATGTGCTGTTCTTATTCTAAATGCAAAGCTGTAAATCAACCTTTTCAAGACCAATGCTGTTTGAATTGATATTCACTGAAAGTGACCCAAGAGTTTCAGAAATATTACAACCACAAGGTTGCTAAGCATCCCTCTAATGTACACAAGGCAAGAATAAAGACTTTTAACACAAGCCAAGACTATTCAAATAGAAGGATCTCAAATGATCCTGAAAGCAACGTGACCTGAATGCTTCCAGACCCTAATAGGAATGGGTTCTGCCATTGTTGGCTTACAAATCAAAATGTTATGCAATGGTCTCTTAAAATTCAAAAACAATTCCACTTCATTTTCCCCTAGTTCCATTCATAAATACACTCTATTTTGCATTTATAGCATTATTACATAAATAAAGTTAGATAACTGAAGGCAAATGTTCTTACATAAAGAGGAAGGTTAATAAATAGTAAGATACTGCAATTTAAGAAATATTCAATTTTTATTATACCAAAATATATTGCTGTATCATTCTTAAGTTAAACTTGTGTTTACTGTGCTATATTAAGTGCCACAGGGCAAAGCAGACATTTCACTAGCAAAGTGTAAATGAAGCAAACTTATTTGGTCAAATATTTTTTAAATGCAGCTTTTTGTCTGTTTTTTTAATAAGCATTTCATTTTTATAAGTATTTCACATATCTCCATATGTGAATGTTTATATATTTAAAATGAGGGCACAGTAAAAGGTAGGTATCTTTAATTTCAAAAGGGAAAAAATTCAAATGAAAGTGTTATCACTTATTTTAAGCCAAATCTTCACCATGACCCCTGGATATCCTAAGCTTTAACGAAATATTTTTTCAAGACTTTAAAATGTATAAAGATAAATTGAGAAGTCACAGTTTCCATCTAACAACTTTTCACTCTCACCAATCACTCCACTGAATTTATGCTAAAAAATCACCAATTAACCACAATTTTGTCAAATCTAATGGACCCTCTTAGCGACTCACTGTAAAAACAACATCCATGAACTTTCCACATAGTTGGTTTCTCCTTCCTAGAAACTCTCTTACCTTGGCTTCTGTGACACTAAATCCTCCTGGATGTTCTCTTTTCTTCATTGGCCACTATTTCAAAATTTTCCTGCTTCTGTTCTGTGCAACATTTTAATGTTGGAGTGAGTCAGGACTCATTTTTATGCCCTCTTCAGTTATCACTGTACAGTCTTGTCTCAGGTTAACTGGCAGCCTTCAATGTCATATTAACATGTCATTTTAACATGGGAGAGTCCCCACAATCCCATCCCATAGACATTTTGGTGGGAAGGGAATGTAATAAAACTGAGTAGAGAGACAAGAGAACTTATTAAATCCATAATGCAGGAGGCTGAAGAAACATAGACCTAAGTGTTCTCTTATAGTGAAGACAGCAAGATTAGACCATTATGATGTTGCCAGGATTCACTTTTTTTTTTTTTTTTAACTTTAAGGACCGCAGACAACTGGGCCCTGGAGAAGAGGCCAGAGGTTTAGAAAGACCAGGTGAAATGTGAGAGGAAAGGAGAAAATGGAGAGAGACCATATGTGTTCATGAACAGCTAATGGAAAGACTCTTTATTTGCTGTTTATTTTTTTTTTTCTGGTAATTGACTATGTGCACCATTCCAGATGCTAAAGGCATAATTAATGAGTTACATTAGTGCCCAGAACTCCTGGTTTTTATCTCCAGATTAAACTTTCCTTTGAGTTTCAGATGCTTATACTGAGTCATTACTCAATATATTCATGTCACCTCTGGCTACGTTTTTTTTAATGTATGCTTCTTTTTGCTCTTTTTATTCTGGTGATGTTTATCACACTGTTGCTCATGAAGAAACCTAAAAGCTGAACTTGACAATTCAGTATCCCTCATCCTCCTTATCAAATCTATCCACTCTCTTCCATCTCTGCTATCACTGCCCTAGTCCAAACCACCAGGACATCTTGCTTGGATTAATTCAATAGTCACTTGTTGTTGTTGTTGTTGTTGTTGTTGTTGTTGTTGTTGTTTATGGGGTTTTTTTTCCAAATTTATATACGCATGCATAAATTCTTCATGAATCAAATAGTCAAATAGTTCTACATACAAGGCTTGCAGCATAGACACACACACACACATATATACATATACTCACATACACAAACACATGGTATCCTGGAATCTTCCTCATTTCCCATCTCTGACCATTGTCAATTCTATTAGCTAATTCCTTTAGCATTTACCTCTAAAACTCTACAAAATAAACAGATGCTCTCACTTCTTGATTCAAAGCGAAACATTAATTTGTTCCATAACATTTTACATTCCCTGGGGCTTATAATTGTCTAATTTGTTGTTGTTGTTGTTTTACTATTTGATTACTTTTCTATTTAATCTAAAATCTTTGCCAGTTGCTGTCTATATCTAAAGTTGTTCAATGTATCAGATATTATTTCAGTTTCTGATTCTTGGACCATTTCTCAGAGCCTGTTGAGTTGCTCTGGTCTGATTGGTTGATTTCCATACCCAGTTATCATCTCCTTTCAAAATCCTCTTGGGGATTCCTTTCAATTTGCTGTGTTTTGTGTTTTTTATATTCCATGGCTTTCAATGTCTTGGTTTATTCCCTTGTTTTAGTAGACCACCTCCTATAGTAGTCTCCTGAGAAATCCTGACTAGGAAGTAAGTTTCTGCATCTTTCATGTCTCAGTACATTTTATATTACTCTAGCAATTAATTGATAGTGGCAGACTCTAGTATATCATACATTGAAAATGGCTGTCCTTCAGAATTGGAAAGCATTGTGCCATTGTCTGCTAAGTATCCAGGGTTGTCACTGAGAACTCTAGTTTGATGCCAGTATTATATATATGTACTTTTTTCATTATTTGGGGTTTTTTTTGTTTGTTTTTAGTTTTTGTTTTCTATTCTTTCTGGAAGTTTGTAGGTTCTTAATTTTGGCCCTCTGAAATTTCATAATGGTGTACTTTGGCGGCAACTAGTGGAATATGCAGTATGAAAATTTATGTTCTTCTGACTTTGAAAAATGTAAAATTTTTCCATTTATGCTGTTTTTTATTTTCCCTCTTCTCCCTCTCTGGAATGGCAATATTTGAATATTGGCTGGCCTTCATGGGCTTATCTTCTAATTTTCTTATATATTTTTTTTATATTTTTGCTCCATTATCTGAAATATAACCCACTTTGCTTTACTATCTGCAGTATATACCCTAAGTTACCTTCCAAACACACTAAAGTTTTTCATTTATGCTCTGCTTTTACTTTTAATATTACAAGTTCTTTTGTTTTTTGTATTCTTTAATATTTTTGTTATTCTTTAATAGTATCCTGTTCTTGTTTCATGTTTATATATCTTTTCATCTCTCAAGTTTTAATCATGGTTTTTATTTTTTTATTTTTATAGGACTTTTATTTTTATTTTTTAAATTTATTTTTTAAAAAATTCTTCTAGATCTATTTTTATTTTTATTCCCGTATAATTAACATATAGTCTATACATTACTCAGTGCTCATCATGATAAGTGTACTCTTAATCTCCTTCACCTATTTCACACATTCCCCCCATGCACCTCACATCTGGGAATCAACAGTTCTCTATATTTAAGAGTCTATTGTCTTGTCTCCCTTTTCTTTGTTTTGTTTATTAAATTCCACATAGGAGTGATATCATACAATATTTGTCTTTCTCTGTCTGACTTATTTCACTTAGCATTATACCCTCTAGGTCCATCCATGTTGTTGCAAATGGCAACATTTCATTCTTTTTTATGGATGAGTAATATTCCATTGTACATATATACCACATCTTTTTTATGCATTTATCTATCAATGGACACTTGGGTTGCTTCCCTCTCTTGGCTATTGTAAATAATGTTGCAATAAATATAGGGGTGCATATATCTTTTCAAATTAATGCTTTCATATCCTTTGGGTAAATACCCAGTAGTGGAATTATTGGATCATATGGTAATTCTATTTTTAAATTTTTGAGGACCCTTCATACTGTTTTCCACAGTGGCTACACCAGTTTGCATTCCTACCAAAAGTGCACAAGGGCTCCTTTTTCTCCACATCCTTGCCAACACTTGTTGTTTCTTATATATTTTTTTATTTTAGCCATTTTGACAGGTATGATGTAATATCTCAATATAGTTTTGATTTGCATTTCCCTGATGATGAGTGATATTGAGCATGTTTTCATGTTTCTGTTGGCCATCTGTATGTCTTCTTTGGGAAAATGTCTATGCAGATTCTTTGTCCATTTTTAATTGGATTACTGTTTTTTGAGGTGTTGAGTTGTATCAGTTCTTTTTTATGTATTTTGGATATTAACCCCTTATCAAATATAAAATTTGCAAGTCTCTTCTCCTATTCATTATGTTGTCTTTTAGTTTTGTTGATTGTTTCCTTCACTGTGCATTTTTCTTTCTTCTGATGTATTCCCAATAGTTCTTTTTGCTTTTGTTTCCCTTGCCTTAGGAGACATATCAAGAAAAATGTTCCTATAGCTAATGTCAGAGAAATTATTCTCTGTACTCTCTTCTAGGATTTTTATGGTTGCAACCCATTCACCTGAATTTACCCCCTCATTCTTTGTCCCTACTTGCATGAGACCTGGATAGACTGGTTCTTGAGATACTAGGAAAGTCAATGGTACAAATCTGCTAAATTCCTACATCTCTACTGCTGGTTGATGAGTCAGTTTTTTCCATGTTGCTTAGTCAGAGAAACCTTCCCTAAGCTCACAAAACAGATTTTATCTCCCCACATACACTTACCAAAATTCTCTACTTCTGAGTACTTAGTGCAATTGCAATTAAACCTGCTTGCATAATTACTTATTTAACCTTTGTCTGCCATACTAGGTTATAAGCAACTTGACAGCAGTCCATGATTGTCTTGTTTTCACTTCCAATGCAGTGCTTGGCATATTTTCTAGTACATGACAAGTACACAGTTACTTATTTTTTAAATCAATGAATGAATCCGAGGAAGTAGGAGAACTGAGATAAACATCAGGAAAATCCTCAATACATGACTATAGCTACAACACTTAATTATTATGTTAAACTATGAAACCATTTTACAGTATTACATATTAATATTATGCTTGATCGGTACATCACTTCAAACTTAGAAACAAACTGCTAGTTGCTTCAGTTTCAAAGTAAATGAACTAAAAAAGTTTTCTGACAATTTTATGAAGTCATATGGTTCTAGAAATAATACTAAAGGTATTAAAAATAAATGCATATAGGGGCTCCTGGGTGGCGCAGTCGGTTAAGCATCCGACTTCAGCCAGGTCACGATCTCGCGGTCCCTGAGTTCGAGCCCCGCGTCGGGCTCTGGGCGGATGGCTCAGAGCCTGGAGCCTGTTTCCGATTCTGTGTCTCCCTCTCTCTCTGCCCCTCCCCCGTTCATGCTCCGTCTCTCTCTGTCCCAAAAATAAATAAAAACGTTGAAAAAAATTTAAAAAAAAATAAATGCATATATATTTCAAGTAGTGCTAAATAATATGAAGTAAAGTAAAGAAGAATAGGGAGCAATAGGGAAGCTCTCTTAAAAAGGGAAGACACAAGATCTTTATGATAAGCTCACTTTGAGCAGAAACTGAGAAGAAATTTGAGATCAAGCCATAAGGGTACTGGACTGTTCTTTACACACACACACACACACACACACACACACACACACACACCATTAGCAGCATAAATATCAATTTTCCGTGAGAGCACAGTCAAAAATGGGAAAAATATTTTCCTATTTTGCAATTATGGGAAATATCTTCCATAAATTCATTGTGCTTTTCTCCAGTTCTTATCATTATTATGTCAGCAATTTTTTAGTTACTTTCCTTTATCTTCAGCTTCCACACTGTGGTCTTTCAAGACTGTTGGGAATAATAATAGGATTCACGTTGGGCCACACATCCATTGTTATAGAAAGTGAAGCTCTGAGAAAGCGGTCTAATAGAGTCAGCTAAATTCTTTGCCAGTAGTACTCAAACTCTCAGTTATTTTCTGGTTGGAATGATGATTTTGTCTTGTGGCAGAGAGATATAGATACAGACATAGAGATATAGACATATAGACATAGATATAGATCAATCATATAGATATATAGATATAGACAACCCCAAAGAGGCTTGCTGATAAAAGTTTCCAAAGAATCATCCCCTTGCAGATTTATGATTCAGGGTGATTCAAAAGTGAGAAACATAGTCCTACTAGTCATCCTTCTTTCCTGATATTCCCTACAAACCTCCAGTGGTCTTGGCACCTAATTCCATATTATTGCTTGGATACATAACATGCAGACAATAAGCTTTATTTCCACATACATATTCTTCAC